ACAACAACAACAACAACACCTACTCAATCTGTATGCTGAGCAATATTTCTCAAGGACGTGGACTGCATAAAAAAGAATGTAACATCAGGATTAGAGGAAGACTCATCACTAACCTATTTAATGCAGATGTAAAAACGCCTCATGCAGAAAGTAAAAAAGACTGAAGACGATCAAAGACTACAGCCTTCAATATAGATTGTATCTCAACATCAAAAAAACAACAATCTTCATCACTGGACCAATAGGTAATAACATAAAAGAGACAAATGAAGTTGTCAATGATTTCATTTTACTTTGGTTCACAATCAACATCCATGGTAGCAGCAGTCAGGAAATGAAAAGATGTCACTGAACAAGTCTACAGTAAAGTACTTCTTTAAAGTGCTAAAGGCTAGGGATGTCAGTTTAAAGACTAAGGTACTCCTGGATCCAAGCCATGATATTTTCAAATGCTTCATAAGCATCTGAAAGTCTGAAACTTAATAATGAAGACCAAAAAAAGGGATACATTTTAAAGTGTGGTGTTGAAGTAGACTGCCAAACGAACAAACAAATCCATCTTAGAGGAAATGCAAAGACACTGCTCCTTAAACTTAAGGATGATAAAACTTCTTCTCATATACTTTGAGACTGTTATCAGAAGGAGCCAGTCCTTGGAAAAAGATATGCTGGGAAAGACGGAGGGCGACAAAAGAGAGGAAGACCCACAAGGAGATGGGCTGACTCACTGACAGCAGCACTGAGCTTGAGCAAGGTCGAGATCATGAGAATGCAGCAGGATAGCAAAGCTCTGATCTCTTGTTCATATGTTGCTATGAGTTGCAGTTGACTCAATACCTAATAAGAAGGTTGAGAAGTCAACAGTCAAGTGAAATAAAGGAATTAGTAGGCTACAAGAATGAACTGCTCTACAAACTGGATTTGAAGAGCATTTAAAACAGAGAACTTAAGATCTATAAACGTGTCCTAACATTAATAAAAGATTATCAGACCACATAGCTGATAGCAGGGTTAAAGATACTAGCCAGGGCAGGACTGTATGCAAAGAAGCCAAGAACCAAGGAAAATCAGATTACAGAAGCCCTATGAAAGAATGATAATTTTGCTCAGACCTGGGTACTGTCTGGCTATTGAATTTGGGGATCTAGTACAAAATGTGAATCTGAGGCTGTTTGTTTAAAAATCAAGAATTAAGTGTTGTTGGCAATATTATATAAATATATATGTGGTAGTGTGTGTCATCAAGTCAGAACTGACCCACAATTGACACTCCATAGGGTCATAAGAGGCAGTGAATTTCACTCTGGAGACTCCCATCCTTTTCCAGTAGAGCAATTCGAAATGTGTGCCTTCGGGACTGCAGTAGCTTCCTATCACTAGAGCTTCCTAATATATAAGTATAGAAATAAATACACACACACACACACACACACACACACACACATACATATAAACTTAAATATACATTTAACAGAATTTTTAAATCTTTGTAATTTTTGATAAAAAGTGCTAAGTCAATTCTAAAATGAAAATGGGAAGGACCTAGAATCATCAAACTTTAGAAAGAAGAAAGCTAAACTGCTTGCTCATCTGATTTATAGTAGTCATCATACTGAAATTTAAGAAAAAAAATTATAAAGATCCAGACAAATGTAGTTGAATGCCCCCTCCCGTCAAAAAGATGCCTAAGATTTACAATCTTGGTTTCTGGCTACAACATCTGGATAGCCATATTGTTGCTGTTAAGTGATTCAAGTTGCTTGCTACTCAGCGATCCTATGCACATTAGCTCTGAAATCTGCCCTATCCTGAGCCAATCTCACAATCTCAGATAGACTTAATCCATTTCTCCAATCCTTGTGTCAATTCATCTCGTCCTGGGTCTTGTGCTGTCCCCTCCACTCTTCTAAGCAAGTCCCTCCTGGCCACATACCCAAATTATGTGAGATGGAGCTTCAAAATCCTTGCCTCCAGGGAGCAGCCTGGTTTCATTCTCTCCAGGACTGTTTGTTCTCCTGGTAGTCCACACTATGTTCGACACTCTTTTTCCAGCAACACAGCACAAAGGCATCAATCCTTCTATCATCCTTAGTTACTGTCCAGCTCTCAGATGCATAGCAAGTAATTAAGAAGATCACGGCCTGGATCAGGCACACCATAGTCTTCAGATTGACAGCACTGCTCTGCAGTACTCCAGAGAGGCCCTTGACAGCAGACTTTTCCAATGCAATTCATCTGTTGATTTCCTGACTGCTGAGCGCTGATTGTGGAACCAAGCAGGCTGAAGCTATCAGCAATCTCAATCTCCTCTCCACTCATCTTGAATCTGCCAAATGGCCCAATGTGAGACTCTTTGTTTTCTTGATGTGCAGCTTCAATCCATACTGAAGACTACAGTTCTTGACCTTCTGCTGCAAACGCCTTTTGTCCCTTGTCCTCTTCAGTTTCAGCAAGCAATGTTGTGTCATCTGCATAACGCAGGTTGTTGATGAGTCTTCCTCCAATCCTGATGCCTCATTTCTCCTCATAAAGTCCAGCCTTACAAATGATCTGTTCTGCATGTAGATTGAAAAGATAGATAGGATGCACCCCTGACACACACCTTTCCTGATCCTAAACTATGCAGTGTTTCCCTGTTCTGACTTTCTGGTCCAAGTAAAGGTTTCACATGAGCACAATTAAGTGTTCTGGGATTCACATTATTCTCAAGGTTAGCCAAAATTTGTGATGAACACAGTCAAATGCCTTTGTATAGTCAATGAAACACAGATACACATTCCCCTGGTACTCTCAGATTTTAGCGAAGATCTATCTAACACTGATTTTGAGGTCCCCAGTGTCATGGCCTCTTCTAAACTCAAAGGGGAGGGAATTTCTCAATTCTGCCTCACACTGTACATAAAAAATGAACTCAAAATGGAGATGCAGTAAAACCACATAAAACTGTTATTCAGCAACATGCAACTGCACACAATAAACAGAATGAGTACACAAAAGTTAGCATTTGTAACATTATGCTGATTGAAAAAAGTAAAATTCTACTCTGTACTCTCTTTCATGTATAATAATTCTAGTTGGTGCAATCAAAATACAATGACAGAAGATCAGCAGTGGTGTGGAGCTGAAGAGTGAAGACACTGCCAGGGCTGATGACTACTCTCATTATCTTACTTGTGATGACAGTTTCACAGGTGTATTTTACACAAAAAATCTACAAGTTATAGAGATTAAGTAGCTTGCTGTGTGTTAACAGTATCTCAGTAGAACAGTGGGTTTTTTTCTTGCCACACTGGCTAATGTAAAAATACATGTGCTACAAAGATTTCAACCAAAATTCTGATGAAGATTTTTAATAAAATATTTTCAACAGTAAAAGGGTTTAAGAATCTTACAAGGGTTCTGCTGAAACTGAGGAAGACCTGAAGCACTTGCTGCTGAAGGTCAAGGACTACAGCCTTCAATATGGGCTGAGGCTCAATATCAAGAAACAAATATTATCAGTATTGGGTCAATTGGCAGCATCATGATGGATAGTGAAGAGATTGAGACTGTTAACAGCTTTAGTTTGCTTGGCTCCACAGTCAACACTCTTGGCACCAGCAGCAAGGACATCAAAAGACGTATTGTGATGGGAAAGTCTGCTGTTAAGAGACCTCTCTAAAGTACTGTGATGTCACTCTTGGTGCCTAAGGTGTGCCTGATACAGTCCATGATCTTTGCAATCACTTGTTATGCATCAGAGAGCTGGAAAATGACTAGGGATGACAGAAGGAGAATTGATGCCTTTGAGCTGTGGTGTTGGAGAAGAGTACTGAATATACCATGGACTGCTAAGAGAACGAACAGGCTTGTCCTGAAGAGGGTTAAACCAGGCTGCTCCTTGGAGACAAGAATTCTGAAGTTTCACCTGACATACTTTGGACATGGTGCAAGGAGGGACCAATCCTTGGATAGAGACTTCATGCTTGGGAGGGTGGAGGGACAATGCAGGAGAGAAAGACCCTCTATGAGGTGGACTAATGCAGTGACTGGGGTAATGGGGTAGGTGTGTCGGAGACAGTGAGATTGGCACAGGATTGAGCAGGGTTTAGGGCTATCATACTTAGGGTCGCTATGAGTGGCAAGTGACTCCAAAGCACATATAGAATCCTACCACCGACCACATTAAAAGTCAAATTCACTGCCAATTGAGTCAGATCCAATTAACAGCAGCCCTCCAGCGGGTTTCTGAAGCTGTCAATCACAGGAGGTAAGCTTGCCCCTTCTCTCACAGCCACCAGTGGAATCAATTCACAAAAGATGCACCACCTTTGGGTTATGAGCAATAAAACTCCCTAAGGACAAGGTCACCAGAGCTCCCTTACTGTTTATACTATTATTATGTACTGTCGAGTTAGAACCAACTGAAAGCTAACACTCCAGACCAGAGACAATAAAGTGCACAAAAGGAGATTGCCCCTGTTTCCTCCATGGAGCTGCTGGTGAGTTCAAACCACAGGTTTCTGGGATGGCAGGGCATTGCCTTACTGATCATATCAGAATTAGCATGATTACTGGTAATGTTTCTTTTGTGAGAGCAGCTACATTTGAAAGGAGCCCTAGTGGTGTACTCAGGTTGCTAACCAGTTGGGTGTGGCATTTATCTTCCAGGCACTTCAAGGGAGAAAGATGAAGAGTCCCCTCCCCTAAAAATTCACAGTCTTGGAAACCAGATGGGAAGGTCATAAGTCAAAATTGATTTACTGGCCATGTTTGATTTTGAGCTGTATTTCTATTATATAGATTTGTTTTCCTTTGATTAAAAAATTGCTTTAGGGTTTCTCCCCCTTTTAATTGTGTTGTTAGTAAACCAACATATGTATAAACTAATATATATATACATACACACACAATACACATACACATATACATATACATATCTCTCTCACATATATAAACTAATATATATTTATCAGTACACAAATATTTATAATACCACATAAAATTTTATTATTTCATACCTGCACTGGGGAGCGAACTGTTACCTTCTTACTCCCTTCCACTGCATCAACCTGACAAACAATTGATCTTTCCACTCCAGACTCTCTGTGTCTAACAGTATACAGACGTCGTCCCACTTTTGTTAAAGGAATCTTATCAGCCGTAGAGTGGTTAACAGGTGCTAAATTAAATACAGCAAATGTTTTAAAATTTGGTTAAAATTCATTATATATTAAATATGGGAAGCCAAACTTTATACCAAACATTATACGAAAACCCTTGTTCAGGAATTTAAGGAATTGCAGATTTATAAATCAGGAGTTCTCTTGTGGTAGATCACAGAAAATGAGCTGTTTGTTCCCTGCAGACAGGAGACATGTGTAGGGACCCCCTACAGAGGGAGTGTTACTACCTGTGAAATACTTCCTGAGCTAGAGCATTAGGTTGACAAAGAGAAAAAATCGGCTTCGTTTACAAGGAATTCCTTTTATTATTTGCTTCCCCAGATTATCAATAAATACACAGAGAAACATGACTGGGGGTCTTCAGTCCAGAACTGCTGGCCTCCTGCTCTCTGCTTATGCTCTCTGCTGTATCTCATTCTTGGCTGTATGTCTCATTACTGATAATTATAAAATTACCCTTGGTCTGCAACATACATGTGTAACTAAGCATGAGAAACAAGTGATTGTTGACTTGACCATAGTAGGCTTAAATGGAGTCACTTATGGAAAGATGTCAGAAAGCATAGTAAATGCCAGCTAAACCTATTTCCTGTAACTACCTCAACTAGCTAAAAGATGAAATCCACACCCACCCATCAGACTTGCTTGCCTAACTAACTTAAGCTAGTACAAAATTTCTCTTTATCTGAAAAGAAGGATGCTTTGGAAGGTGGAGGGACAGCAAAGGAGAGGAAGACCTCAACCAGGTGTATTTACACAGTCACTGAAGCAATGGGCTTAAAGGTGTCGGAGACTGTGAGGATGGCACAGGATAGGACAGGGTTTTTAGACTATTATTCATTGGGTTGTTAAGAGCTATAGTTGACTCAATGGCATTTAACAAGAAGAAGAAAATAAAAAGAGCCTAATAAGTTGCCACAAATGAATAAAATGCATATGGAACGAAAACTTAAAACTCCAAGAAGGTCATCTATCACTTACAAAGAAGAATGAAGAAATGTTTGCTGCTTAGGCTGGTCATTGCATTGAAATGATCATTGTCCTTAGTTCGAATATAATCCATATTTAAACTCTCCTTATTTTTCAACGTATATGATTTTGCAATTGGAACATCGAGTACACTAAAGGAATCACTTGGTGAAACGGAGATTGTAAGTCCAAGAGAATTTATAATCATAAATGGTGCTAGATCCTTTAGGAAGACACTTGAAGCAGATCCAGTGGCAGCTTCTGTAAATGCCTAATTGGAAGAAAAGATTTTCATTAAAATAAAATAAAAATAACTAAATGACTAGTAGAATACCAATAAACACTTGAGAAAAACTAAAGGAATAATAAACATTTTCTTTTTTCAGTCAGTGCTGAATAGAAACCAATCATTTAAACTTTCATATTTCTTTTCTTACCTTAACTAAATTATTTAACATTACAAGGCCACACTTGGATAATGTAATGTTCAGTTGATCTTTTGAATAAAAACTGAAGATAGTTTTATACTCCGGCACTTTGTAGTTTTCTTCTTCGGTGTCTGATTCAACAATGGCTCTCTTTGCTTTTTTTTTCATCTAAAGAAAAATTACAGAAATGTAAGGAAAATCTGTTCCTAGGAATATAACAGAATTCAATTAACAATGTAAAAACAATCTCCAGACAAATTCTAAAATAGTATTAAAAAGAGGAATAATCTTAACAGTTCTATTTCTTTAATATACTTGGAAATCAACAATAAAAGTCATATAGGAGAAAGCCAAATTTTAGGGTGGAGGGAATCTCCTTTCATCAGTAATAATTTAATGATCATAAGCTATAAGGAAAAAAACCACTAAGAATAATTACAAAGTGCATGAGAAATCTGAGTAAAGATAAGAAGCACATGCATGACAACAAGATGGAAAATTAGAGTAAGAAAACATCACATTAGAAATGAAGAACTGAAACGTAGGCCAAGAGAACTGGAATTTCAACCACACAAAGGACAGCTAAGTCCCAGCCAAAAGACACCAGCCAAGACACTGTGAAACCCACCCACCAGGAGCAAGTAGGGAGCAACTGCCTGCCACCCTGTGACTCGGAGGAGCAACCGACCACCCCCAGTTCTAAGAGACCCGGGAGAAGCAACTGTCTGCCAGCCACCACAGAACCCCAGAGGAGCAACCACCGCCAACTGTGTGATCCCAGAGGAGTGACGACTACTCACCACTGTTTGACCTTCCTGCAACCCATGCCTGTGTGACCTCACCACGCAGGGTGCCGCTACATAAACCCCCAGCGCCCAAGCCCCGCCCCCTGCCTCCTGGTGGTAGTGTCCAAGCCCTGTGCTCCTGCGCCCCACCCCCTCCCCGGCCCCTTGCTTCCTCCCCCTTCCTCTGCCCCCCTTGCAACTATATAACCATGCACCTCAGCCTCCACACAGCCCTGTGACCTCAGGGCACCACCACAGATCCAGCCATCACCCGGAGCTACCAGCCGAGCTGCTGTGGAACTAATCTAGCAGGAGAAAGTCTGCTAGGATCCTGACTGGGTTTTCTGAAGCACTGCTGATTACCTGGGAGAGATCCCAAGGGTGAGCCCACTGGTGGGGAATTTGGCCAAGCTCTCTTGGGCCACACCGACTGCCCAGAAATGAGCCAGCCACTGGTTGGCTTTTGTGGACTCTGAACACCAGCCAGAGGCTAGTGGGTTGGTCGGAATTTGACCGTGACTTTTCGGGTTGTGTTGGATCCAGGACCCTGCTGGAGCAGGGGCTGTTGTGTGAGGGCACCTGCATAAGTGCCACCGGGCAGGGAACACTAAGAAAAGCACTGGGTGGGAAACGGACAGCAAAATTTGAGTAGGGACCCCAATCATGAGCATACTCAGACAGCAGAGGTTTGAGCAAGGTCCCCCAAGTATTTGACCTGCCCTTGCGATCACCCCAACCCTGCATCTGCCTCACCCCATTTGGCTCCACACAAGTGACTACACATCTGAGCAATCAACTTGCCTTTAATCGGGAGCACCTGAACCTGTCTTACCAACAAGAAATTGCCCTCACAGGCACTGAACTGACATTTCTCTAAAGTCAGAAGTTCAGAGAAACACACAAGTTGGGTAGCTGCCCAACTAATCTTTAGAGCATTGTCTTCAGATCAACAACATACCAATGTCTCGAAGAAAGCAAGCTATCCCACACAATACACAAGAGCAAAGCAAGATGTCACCAGCAAAGGGTGACACAGTATCAGTGGATTTCCTGAAGCCAGAAAGTCTGATGGAACTTTCTGAGGAGCTCAAAAAACCAATGCAGAACATTGCAGAGAAAACAAACAAAGCATTAGCAGCACTGGAAAAATAAGAATCCATTATTCAAAATGTAAGGCCCAATGTTTCAGAGGCTGTCAACATGATGGAGGGACACATAAGCAGAGTTGATGACATGGAACACAAAACCAGTAAAATTGAAGACAGAATTGTCACCACTGATCTGCTAGAGCAAAAAGCAGACTCAAAAAAGAAGCAAAAAGAAGAAAACCTAAGAATAATGTGGGACACCATCAAGAGAAATAACATGCACATCACTGGAATCCCAGGAAAGGAAGAAGCAAGTAAAGGCACTGAAAAAGTTGTGGAAGAATTACTAGAGGAAAACTTCTTAGGCATAATGAAGAACAAGAGAATATTGTATTCAGGAAGCTCAGCTAACACCATATAGATTAGACCCAAAAGAAAAACATCAAGGCATATCATAGAAACCTAGGCCATTACAAAGTAAAGCAATTACTGACAAAATAGATAATAAACTTGGGATTCATGAAACTATTTTTTTTAAGGTTGAAACCAAACATTCATGTACTTCTCTCTCACTGCTGTCAAATATCAACTGACTCACAGAAAATCTTCAGTGAGCCTGTAAATTGCATGGGAGAAGATTGCTCCTTTTCCTCCTACAGAAAGTCCACATATATATTTTGACTTAAAAACTATCAAAGAAGTTCCTTTAGCTAAATCCCTTCTTTAAAGCTAGAGAAGCTTTTTTTTTTTTTTTTGCTATTTCCTGCATATCTAATACATACAGCTATAAGCATTTATGTTGGAAATACTGCCCTCAGCAAAAAGCTAGAGAAGCTGTGGTATATTCGCACAATGGAATACTATGCTGCATTAAAAAACAAGGAACTCGTGCAATATTATTCAAAATGGTTGACTCTG